CCGGATAATCATCCACATCATCCACAAAATCCGGATAATCATCCACAAAATCCGGATAATCATCCACATAATCCACAAAATCCGGATAATCATCCACAAAATCCGGATAATTATCCACCATGTCGTCAGGAGCATGCATTGGATTATTTTGCGCGTTGACTGCTCTGTAATCAACTCTACGTTTTATCGTTAGATTACAGTGAAAACAGTTTTTATTGTCAATCAGATGGTGCATATCATTCTCGCGTATGCGCAAACAGTCGATTAAAAAATTTTGCCTCGGTATTCTGCATGATTTCACCTGTTTGAAAACACAAGTTGTCTTAATATATCGTTATTATTATCTTGTTATGGGCAATAACATTCAACATTGAATATGCTGCTTTTAAAAATGCCGTTGAAGAGATCTTTATAATTATTTATAAAAACGTGATTATAATCTAATTTTTAAATATTAAAGAAGTGAGCGCTTTATTTATACAAATAATAATGGATATAATCTTACCGGGCCATTGTAAGTACCGTTAAATGTCCCAATTGCTTCAAATGTATATGTGAATTGTTTGCATACAGAGATGGAGTTCGCGATTTGCAAGAAACCCATCACATCACCCATCTGATTTATGGAAATATTCAAGAAAAACAGGCCCATCTCTTTGATATGAAAAGCAAAATCGTAATCCCGATTCAAGATATACTTCAGAGTCCATTTCTTTTTTAATACATTATCTTTTGCGTTGAACTGTAATTACAATTAACCATAACAAAAATACAATCTTGAAAAGTTTAATTATAATTCCAATCGCACATTTGCAAATTTGAAAAAAATACGCGCTATACCTCATAAAATACATCTTTATGGTGATATCTTAAGTGGCCAATCATTCGTCCATGTGGTAGTTCCACTACACAAGTTCCAATACGACACGGATATAATCCTTTTCCTTCTCTAGGTGCCAAATTCAGCATAAACTTTTGTTGCTCGTTTCTCTTTTATCGTTTGAAGGAAAAATGAGAAGTAAAAATAAATAGATATCTAAATTAAGATTGTCTTGTATTATCTTTGTATTGTTTTTGTCTCTCATTATTATTATCTCGTATTATTATCGCTGTATTAGAAATAAACACCATACCTTTATGTCCTGCAATATGGTTGAGATTTGTTCCACTGCCAAATTTCTCGTTCCCGTAAAGGGAGATCTACATATAGGGCAGACCTGCAGCCGTATTCTGCACGGATTACAAATGTGGTGGCCATTTACGCATTGGTCTTTTACACCCTGTGCTACTTCTAAGCACACGGGACATTTGAGCAATTCCTCCAGTGCATCACACCACTGAAACAATCGGAATTATGGAATGATCATTCGGTACAATGATTAGACATATAATTATTAAACATGCGGCCAATGTTGCAAAAGTATAATTCGAAGTTAATATAAAAAATTCGAGGTTAATATAAATAACGTAATCGTAATCAAATTATCAGCAATCGGATAAAATCCGCTGATAACGTTAAGACGTAATTGACGTTACGGCGCAGACATAAGATCTGCAGAAGAAATCGTGCTAGAACATAAAAATATCGCGGCGTAGCAATACCATACCATAACTCCAATCTCCTCCATCGTGATTGAGCGTATTTTGAGCTCGATACACGAGCACAAGACGACAGTATTTTGAAGACACAGGCGACCGGTGGGCAGTGACCGGTAGAATGTAGAACTGGGCGCGTTCAGCAGACCAAGCCGCTCAGTAGCAGTCGAACGTGATTGGCTCTTATTTTTAGAACCAACCAATCAACGCAGAGTGTTGATAAGACGAACTCAACAGTTGTATCTGCTGAACACGGCCACTGACAATACACTCGCTACAAAACACAAAACTAACATCTACCGCCTTTTCTGGAATTCCCCGGTTTTTTCGTCTCTCGCCACGTTGCCCAGGTTGCTCAGGATTACCACACTCCATTGACAACAAAATTGCTAGACGGCTTTCATGAAAATGATCATCGCTTATTGGATAGCAATTAGCAACCGAATCTGATTCGTCAGCTTCAATAAGTACGTGCGCACTGATTACATTTCAGTGCACTGACGTCATCGTCCTGGTCTTGACAGAGCAATATTTCGTAATCCGATCTTATATTTAATAATAAGATAAAGGAATAAAGGAATGTCGCATCTCACTTCAGTATACGTACATTAAAGTGAGATGCAACATGCCTTATTCCTTATTCCTCTGTCTTATTCCTTTTATTTTTCTCATTGTGTCTGAGCCCTTATTTTTTACTGCGTGTAAATAAATTAAAATGCTATAACTCATTGTCAGGGGATGCCGATGTGGAATATTTACACCGACAAAATTTTATCTATTTTACGTATTCTTAAAATAGCTTTAATTTCACAAGATTGCAAATCCTTTTATATACATACAATTAAATACTAACAATTAATTATAAAACACTAATGACGAAAAAAAATTTTTTAAAAATTACTTTTGTTTTTGCACGTAAAGTCGTCACCCACGAAATGGCAACGCCAATAATTACCAACATTTTTAGTTCAATTTAGTGAACGCTTTCCTTTTCGAAGTTTGGCCGTTGCTTAAAAATAATTAAAGTTAAATGAATATCGCCACATATCGCAGTGTGTGTCGAGTAAGTTCTTTCGCGCTTTGATGTATGAGGGCACCATTGATAAACTTTTATCAAGGAAATAAAAAAGTGAGTGCTTTGGCCCAGGGTTATTCTGATTTATTATGTCAAATTTTCCTCGTGAAAATCGAGTAATAATACAAATCTATTTTAAGTATGCGTGGTCAGATGAAATTCACACACAAACAAAAACCGCGCCATCTGACGAGCTGGAAACAGCTGGAAACGACAGAATAGCGCCACCGCCAATAACGGGCGACGCCGATTCCTCTCCACCGCGACTGCTCCTACGCCCGACGCGTCCGACGTGTATGCCGCGGCACGGCGATTGCGCGCGCAATGAATCAGACCGCGCCAGTGTCGTGTATTCCTGCGGGGAAGATGTCGAAGGCGAAGAAGGTGCTGGACGAGGCCCGGGAGATCCAGAATCCCGAGCTGGACCTCGCGGACAAGGGTATCGCGACGTTCGAGGAGATGCCGGGATTGCGTGAGTCTCATCCGCGCGACCTCGCGTCCTCGCGCGCGCGTCATCGCGGATCGCCAAATTAGGCAACTTGTCGCCCGCGGCCTGGATCTCTCCGCTCGCGCGATCCGCAGCACCACAGCCGTTCTGCGGCCTGCGCGGAACCGGATCACGTGGGCGGGTCGGCGCACGCGCGAGTACCACGCGTGCACGCTGGCCTTTTAAATTTGACACTTGGCGTTTTTAAAGATAAACAAGATAAACAGTATGTTAAGCTCCGTTGCGCGAACGCGAAACTTAATGAAATATTCATATTTAAAGAGAATTCTTTTTCTGTTTTGAAATTGTAAAAATGTTGTTTAAGGGATAATATGCAATTTATTGCAATGTATGATTTTAAAATGCTGGAACATATACTATATATCTCGCGCCCTGTGTATAGAATTTTTAGATTTTTTCGAATCGCATGTAAAGGAGAATCGGTATTTACAAGTTTTTCACGAATCTAAAATTCAATATGTGGCCATCTAATAGTTATTAGTTTTTACACATGTTCATCAACTTGCAGTAAATTTGGTATCTATATTTGTTGTAACTTTTACTTTAGATTTATAATTTGCGTCGCTAAAAACTATAGATGTCACATTTGACGCAAAAATTAACTTGGTAATGACCGACCTTGTAAATCCTCATAAAATCCACTATTTTTGTAATTTTAATTTCGGATTTATAATTGATGTTCTGAAAGATTTTTACGCATTGAGTTTTGCATTACAATCTAGGATTCTCTAAAGATTAAACGGATTTTTAATATATTTAAATACACTTGTAAAAATGTGAGATAGAGATGACAAGTTACGTGCTTTTTTTTTTAACGCAAATTACCTTTCTGTCGAATTCACGATATTTACGAGCAAAAGTACTTTCCTCGAAGTAAAATTTGGAAAATCTAACACTAAATATACAAAGTTACGAATCTTAATCATCGCTAATTTTTTGCTACCAAACTGAAGATGAGCTTACAAAAGTCTTGGCGTGTTTCAGTGAATATGATTAACGTAACGAGGCTGACGCTAAGTCACAATAAAATTCAAGGTGAGCGTGTCTTCCAGCTTAACGCAATTATATTGTCCGCCAATTCAATCGATGTATGATGTATTATCTACAACACAATTGTGGTTTTCGGTACAGCGGTGCCACCGGGTCTCGCCAATCTAGTCAACTTAGAGATACTGAATCTCTTCAACAATCACATCACCGAGCTGCCTATATCTCTGTCGCAAATGCCGAAGTTGAGGATCCTGAACGTGGGGTCAGTAGATTTTATATTAAAGGATGAAATTTTTAAATCAATGCTTGCGTTTGTTTATTTACATTGGCAGCTATATTGGGAAAATAAAATCTAATCACACGTTACGTGTATTATATATTCTATTTTCCCAGCAATAGAGCTTCCAATGGGAATAAACGAACGCAGGCCTTATATCTTGAGTTTTGTTATTTTTGACTACCGCACGTGTCGAAATTTATTATTTTAACACGAAACAGTATTATTTTAACTACATTGGTTTAATTAAATTAACATTGTTTTAGTTGAATTAACGATATATTGAGTAGGAGCAGTGGCGACTTATAAAAATGGTTAAAAATGATTATAATTGAGCATAATTTGACACTACGAATTTAACAGTGTAGGCAATGTAGACTGTAGGGCGTGCCACGCGTACCCTTAGCTTTATTCCGCGACGGAAATTTATCAGAACGTTCAACTTCCGGCAGGATGAATCGGTTAGATGTGCTTCCTCGCGGCTTCGGCGCGTTTCCGGTCCTCGAGGTGTTGGACTTGACGTACAACAATCTCAGCGAAAAGAACCTACCCGGAAATTTCTTCATGATGGGTCAGTCACGGTTGTTAAATCGTCTAATGCGTTTCTCCGCAAAAATCCGCACATTAATTCGTCCTTTCTTTAGAGACCCTGAGAGCGCTCTACCTCGCCGACAACGATTTTGAGTATCTGCCGCCTGAAATCGGCCAGTTGAAAAATCTTCAGATTGTAAGAGGATTTTAACGCTTTCGTAGTTTTGCAACTTTATGAAAAAAAAATATTCCGTTTCTCTCGATGTAAGACTCTCTTGATTGTAATATTTTAGCTCGTACTGAGGGAGAACGATCTGATCGAGTTACCGAAAGAGATCGGCGAACTGACACGTCTTAGGGAGCTGCATATTCAAGGAAATCGCTTGACGGTGTTACCTCCCGAGATAGGTAGATAGAATACGACGATATGTGTATAAAATCGTACACTGTTAAATATTAGAAGATAAAAAAATCACTCCTTAAGTTAAATAACATTTTGCAATTTTTAACTACTATATGTGTATCAAAATTTATTATTTTAATACAAAACAGTATTATTTTAACTCCATTGGTTCAGTTAAATTTATATTTTTTTTAGTTAAATTAATGACATTTTAAGTAAAAGTGGTGATCTATAGGATTGGTTAAAAATGACTCAAGTTATATAATTTGACACTACGAATTTAACAGTGTAGTAGAATAGCTAAGCAAAATGTATACTGCAGAATTCATATTACAGGGAATCTGGATCTGGTGAGTAACAAGGCTGTATTCCGAATGGAGTTTAATCCGTGGGTTACTCCGATCGGCGATCAGTTGCAAGTGGGCATATCTCATGTCATGGACTACATTCGCTCGGAAACGTATCGATAGTAGGTGTTTCTCTCGCTTTATTACGAATTGCTGCATAGCACAATTTAAAAAAAAACCGAACGCTTCGGAGAATGAAAAATTTTGAATTATCCGTTTTATACGAATTTCATCAGGATTCTCGTGCTTCTAACACTTCAGCTAGCTTGAACTAACATTCTGTAATTGATCGGAAGGAGTTTTGACAACAAGTATTTTGTCACTTTTTTTCAGCGTTTACAATCGACATCAAAGCGCCAAAGGTCCGCCACCTGCCATCGAGAACGATAAGAGCAAAAAGATCTCACGTGCTCGTTGATGTGCGCCCGTTTTCGCGTAATCCTGACCAAATAATATTATCTCTGCCTAATCTTTTACGAAGATTATTTTTATAAGTCATATACTGCCAATAATCGTTTATTTATGCTAATTAATGAATTCAAGAATTAAAATGGTGCCTTCTAGAAGTAGAATTAATAATGACAAGACATAATGCATATTAATAACATTGTTATACATTTTTAATTGTTTATTAATTTAATATATATATATATATATACATATTAAATTAAAATAACGTATTATACACATTATTTCTTAATCCGAAAAAAATATATTTAAAAAAAGATTTTACATCAACTTTTTATTTTATTTTATTGAAAGTACTGTTATAGTTGTTAACTAACGATCCCAATTAGATTCTTATTGCCAAAAACATATCCCTTGCAATAATAATTTTATGAAATTTTTCATAACACATTCTTAAAACTTTGTATTTTTAAATTATAAAAATGGATACATCTAGGGGATTGGGAACTTTAATTTTATAACTGAAACCTTGCGATACAGCATCGACAGTTTTTTGCGGTACAAAAATTCTATCTGAGAATTAAGGCTTACTAGATTTTTACATTTATTTCTACCGTCTCCCTGGACAACGAGAAAGAAAATCGCGAAACAAATCGTCTCGTTATCAATCCGCGTCAAACATTTCCGGTGTCAATAACGCTCGTTTATCCCACTTATTGCAAGCACACGAGTCTTCAAAATGGTAAATATAAAAAAATACAGCTTAATCATTTGATTTAGCAGTTCGAAAATTATCAATCACGTTTTTCCGCATGATAAAATACCATTTAGGCTTTATATGCGCTATCACAATCTCGAAGATACAACTCTAAACATTAGAAATCACAAATTCAAATCAAAATTAATAAAAAATGTGAATTTATGAGCAGCGGGGACGTGTATAGTTTATTGTGATAGTTTAACGGTAAAGGATGTAGATTTGCGATAAGATATATTGATTAATCGAAACCGAAAGCGCGAAGTGCTTTCGATCCACATCGGCCAAGGCGGCGTGCAGATGGGCAACGCTTGCTGGGAGCTTTATTGCTTGGAACACGGCATACAACCCGACGGCATGTTGCCACCGCAGACCTGCGCGAGCGACGAGGGCTTTCAGACCTTCTTCAGCGAGACAGGCGGTGGAAAATACGTACCTAGGGCCGTTTTCCTCGATCTCGAACCGACAGTGATAGGTAAGCTCGTTTTACGACGTTTTAGTGATTAATAATGAAATGACAATATCGATAAGCTAATATACATTCCTTCGTCATCACCCTTTAGACGAAGTACGCACGGGGACGTATCATCAGCTGTTCCATCCCGAGCAACTAATCTCTGGCAAGGAAGATGCCGCAAACAATTACGCGCGCGGTCACTATACTCTGGGCAAGGAGATCATCGATCTCGTGCTGGATAGGATACGCAAAATAGCCGACATGTGTGCTGGTCTTCAGGGTTTCCTCATCTTTCACGCGTTCGGCGGTGGTACCGGATCTGGCTTCGCTAGTCTGCTGATGGACCGGCTGTCCATGGACTACGGCAAGAAGGCGAAGCTAGAGTTCGCCATATATCCGTCGCCGCAGATCTCCACGGCGGTCGTTGAACCCTACAATGCGATTTTGACGACCCACACCACGCTGGAGAACTCTGATTGCGCGTTCCTCGTAGACAACGAGGCGATCTACGACATTTGCCGGCGTAACTTGGACATTGAACGACCGACCTACACGAATCTGAACCGGCTGATTGGCCAGATTGTCTCGTCGATCACAGCCTCCCTGAGATTCGACGGCGCCCTCAATATCGACCTCACCGAGTTCCAGACGAATCTTGTGCCCTATCCCAGGATACACTTTCCTCTGGCGACCTACGCGCCCATCGTGTCTATCGAAAAGGCCTACCACGAGCAGCTTACCGTGATGGAGCTCACCTCGGCCTGCTTCGAGCCGGCCATGCAGATGGTCAAGTGCGATCCACGAAGGGGCAAGTACATGGCCTGCTGCTTGCTATATAGAGGCGACGTGGTGCCGAAGGACGTCAACGCTTCTATCGCGACCATCAAGACCAAGAGAACAATACAGTTTGTCGATTGGTGTCCAACGGGCTTCAAGGTTCTTTTTCTAGTGACATTTCTTCGTGACAATTTTGCAATAATTCGTGAATTGTTGGTTGTAAAAGTTCTACTTTGTGTGTACTGTCAACGTAAAAAGAATTTCGGAACAAATTCCAATTTATTAGCTATATATATATTTATCATGCTTCAGAATATTTTGCACGTAATAATCGAGTTTGACATTTTTTTCGGTTTGATTTGGATTACAATAGGTAGGAATCAATTACCAACCACCAACCGTAGTACCGGGCGGTGATCTGGCAAAGGTACAAAGAGCCATGGCCATGTTGGCGAATACCACGGCAATCGCGGAGGCGTGGGGCCGACTGAACCGTAAATTCGATCTTATGTTCAGCAAACGAGCTTTCGTTCATTGGTAAACTACGCTCGTTTCTATTTCGCAAATTTAGACTCGTTGAGGATGATCTGTCCTCATTCGCAAATTGTAATCATCAGGTACGTCGGCGAGAACATGGAGGAAAACGAATTTAACGAAGCCAGGGAGGACTTGGCCGCGTTAGAAAAGGATTATCACGAAGTCGCCACGGATTCCTTAGATATTGGTGGCGAAGAAGAAATTTGATCGTCTTCAAAAGACTCGCAGTGATAATCACGTGCAACAAGAACGCATGCACTTTGGTGGGATAAATAAACGTTTCTTTTTTTTTTGTTTGTTTATTCGGTCGTACCATTTTTCTAGGTCTTTTACATTGTTTTGTTGTTCTCTTGTACATATTTTATATCGTTTTTATTTTAGATACGAGTTTTTTGCGTCTTTGTGATATAATAAAAAAAAAACTTGGAGCAATTTCCGTGTTATTGAATTCTTTGATTGGAAACTTGAGGGAATTCTTAACGAAGATTTTCGGAGGAAATCCGTGAGAAAAGGGGAATGAAAGACAGAGCGCCCTTTATAGATATTATAGGCTTTTTATTGTTGGAACAGCACGTGGCTGCGCGAATTATATTACATATGTATAAATTTCCGTCGGCATCTTTACATTACGGTCGCAGAAACTCTCGCATAGCGCGTAAAACTTTTATCCCCCCCCTTTTTTCGTAGTAAAGTGTGGTGTAAAAAACGTGAACGTTCTGTATTTGTGCGTGTTACGTTGACACGTGGGAAATTTAAAACAAAATATTGCAAAGAAATAAAAGAAATAAATGTACTTTCCCTTTCTCGTGGACATTAAGCTCGGGAAGTAATACCGAATTAAATAGTCGTTAGTCGCATAATCGTACAATAATAATAAGGACGATAGTAAATCAAAGTAAAAACGTAGAGCGATGATAGAGATGCTGCCAAGCTGACGACAGAATAACACGACAACTAATCACGTTAATTACAGCGATAACGATGACAATAGTGATAAACATTCGTCGTAATCATTATCAAGCATAACTCTTACCCTATCTCTCTCTCTCTCCACCTTTCGCTCTATCGTCGCATCGTCGGCGACATTTTGGAACAGTTCTTTATCGTATCGTATCAATAGAATAATAATAATCTATTGTTATATTCTTTTTAATAGAATCTTGGACGCGCCGTTCGCTGGCAGACACGCGTAATAATTTGCATATCTTCGTATCTATAAAACTTCTCGGTGTCTCTCTTTCTCTCTTTCTCTTCCTGTATCTACCTATTCTCCCTCTTCCGTTTACTTAGAGAAAAAAAAGGGAAAAAGCTTTTTATCTCGTTCTTTTCATCATACTTTTTGGATTGGCAGACTAAGTCCGCCGCTCGCTGGACTAGAGATTTTCACTACCGCTTTATTGCGCATCCGTTATCATATATTCGAAGGGGAGAGGTCTTCTTCCTCCTCGCTTCTCTAGTATTCGTTAAAAAGTAACTCTTTAAAGGGCCAAACACGTCGTCCCCTTTGGCTCGAAAGTCGTTTCGTCGTTTCAAGTTGTCTCTGGACTGTGAAAAATTTGTCTCCCTCTCCTCTAGAGAGGCAAATCGCAAATTAAAACACCGACAATTCTCTATCAGTATCAACTAACGAGGACACAACGTCGTTCTCGTTCGTAACTGGTCAAAGGACATGGATTTACAAAGATATTCAGAGGTAAACTTCGCCTAGAACAATTTCTTGTCGAGATGAAAAACTTTACAAGCGCGCGATGAGACACACCGGACGCGCAAGACACCGTTTCCAAGATTAACAGAAATTTTCAAGTCGTCCGAGGATCAATGAAATCAATGCCACATCGTGTTTTCATCTCTTTTCACGTCCAAAGGGTCAACGCGAATCGCCGAAGGTAAAGCCACGCGGCAGAGTTCAGAACAAATGTAAATTCTTGACAGTTCCAAACTCCGTCGAATTAGAAAAGTATTCGAAAAAAGGCTTCGCTGTGTTAGTTCGCAATCAACTTTCAAGTCAATTTTACAGTGCTTCGTAGCGTCTTGTGGACCTGCAGAATCGCTGCGCGAAGGCCAAAAATTCTCTTACTGATCGTCGTCAGGCCTATAATCAATCCGCGTACAAACGATATTCGTGTTACGAAACGCTGAAAATTCGAGCGCGGTGACGTTATTAGCAAAACGAATATTGTTAGCTAGATTGAAGCGATTGTCATTGTTAGGATTTGCCTGCACGCACGAATGCCCGTTGGAGTGTCGAGAAGGCCGGGTAAAACAGGCGGGAAATGCTTAGGATCTTTGGTAAAACCCCGCCTGACACGATCGGCGATGATCACGGACGCTCAAACATTATCGTTTAAGGCGAAAATAATCGAGGAGGATGAACAACGTTGGACCTCGAGTCCATCACGCTCTCGTCGTGGCAAGGGTACAAGACGACGAGGTCTTTTCGATCACCCATATAAATGGGGTCGGAGACGCGAATGCTATCCAGATATTCTAGGCGTCTGATCGGAAAGTTTGCGCTATGTAATCAAACGGTCCATTAAATAATAATCATGCTACGAGATAGTGACTATGTTAATTCACCAACCATCACTATAATCGGTAAATCGTAAAAATAATAGCGGTCGTGGTAAAACGAAGCTACTCGCGAGTAATTAAGGACAGTTACAATGAACGAACAACTAATAATAATATAATTAAAAGTAGCGATAGAATATTAATAATAATAATAGTAATAATAAAATAATAGTTAAAGATTGGAAGAGTAGTACGGTAGTAAGTAGTAGTAGCAATAGTAGTAGTGGTAGAATAGTAATAGTGGTAGTTCAGAGCGGTAGTAATTGGTAATGGTATAATGACGATTATGTCGTTTGTGAAAATATCTAGGATCGATCTCTTTTGTCGATGACGCAATCGCACGATTCACAGTCATTTACGTTTCGCTCACTTACAATACAGATTGGCAGACAGAATATCGATGTACAAGCAAACTCGACCAACTACAACTTTTCATCGCTTTCATTCTCTCACATTCTCTCTTTTGTTCTCTCTCAATCTTTCTCACTCGCTCGCTTGCTCGTATCCGCGGCAATTCATCCCCGCGTTCTCGCTCGATCGACAGTAGTGGCAGTGATCGCGATTTCGAAAGCACTTCTGCTTTCTTTGTGCGTGGTCCACCCATTAACATGTTAATTGACAGCGATACGATCACGCTAACGCGTCGCGAACTGCCTTAAACATTAATAGCGTTAAATATTCGATTCAGCGCAACTCTGCGTTTCGCAGTTCCCGAGAAAATCTCACGGGAAATGACTCGTTCCCCGGTGTATCGATTTGTTTTACTTGCCGGAACAACGTGCCTCACGTTTCAATAGAAAAAGAGATACGGCAGTGTGAAGGTGGCAAATTCCGCTTCGACTTAGCGTTTGTTCGTTCGTTCGTTCCGGTAGTTGTTGAGACGGGCGAGAAGCGCGACGGCGATGAAGCACGGCGGATTCGACGCGGAAGGAAACCAAGACGACGGAAGCACGGTAATGGACGCGGTGACGACGACGACGACGACGGCGCTGGGAACCGGGAAAACGTCCGCGCGCTCTCTCTCTCTGTCCCTCTCTCGGTCAGTCCCGAACTGTTCAGGACCGATAGATACGGATAACGTCGCGGATCGGCGCCCGGCAAAGTGGGCAATGACCGCCGCCCTTGCCGCGCCACTGTTGAATCGCGCATGTATAGCACATACACATGTGGCCGCACATATAGAGCACGCTATCGATGTTGCGCTCGTAGCAGATGGAGCACTCGCTCGGCTGACCGGCCAGCGTCGGCTGCAGGCCCTCGCTCCACTGCTGCAAATGGGACGAGGTCGCGCGCGACGACGCGGACGTCAGGGTGCCGTCCAAGCTCTGGTAGGTCACTGGATCGACGTACGTCGACGAACCGGTGCTGGCCATCGTTCCGGTCAACGGCGGCGAGGACTGCCTAGAGGATCCGGGATGCGGTACCGGCGCGGGCGCGGCTGCCGCTGCCGCTGCCGCGGAGAGATGCACCGATTGCGCCGGCGAATTCCTATGCGTCGCAGAAGCGTAAATCGGTTGTGGCGTGGGCGGCGGTGGCGTCGGGTAACCGGCCTGGGGTGGTAGATTTACGACGAGCACCGTTCCGCCACCCACCGCCGGCTTAAATTGCACCATCTCGGAAAATCTGGACAATTCCGTAGCGGCGTTGCTGTGATTCGAGTGCTGTTGCTGCTGCTGCTGTTGCTGTTGCTGCTGGACATTGGCAGGCGAGGGATTGCTCTGACGTTGCCGGGGCGGCGACGTTGGTCTACTGGCCAACATTCTGACACGCTGAGTGCTCCCATAAGCGTCCACGAACGCCCACAGTTGGAGGCTCTGATCGACATGCATGACGACGTTGGGCGGGCCGCCGTTCTTGCTCATCTGCACCTCGCCGTAATGCGTGACCGTGAAGGCGATCTCGTCACCGGGCTGCGGACTCGACGCTACGTCCTTGGAGACCACCCAGTACTCCGGACGATCTAACAGCAGGTCGCTGTCGTCCGGCAGGTCCTCCGCCGTGAGTCGCGCCGGATCGCACGAGGTCAGGCCCAGAGCGAGGGCGCCGACGTACATCGGTTCCGTCGAGAGGATCTGCACGACCAATCGCTCGCCCAACAGCAACGGCCGGCCCGTGAACGCGTAGCCGTGACAGAACTCCGTGTCCGTGCGCGTCGCCACGCACTGCTGGTTACTGAAGCGGATGTTCCTGCCCCGAGTGCTGCGAAGAAAGAAAACGAGGAAGCGATTAGCCTCAGCGGCGCTCGCTCGCTTAATGACGGGCGTCTTAGGAAACCGTGAAAAGCGGACGGCGAATTAGTTCTGTGCGGCTGAACGGCGCGGCGAATCGTTGTGCACCGGGTAGAGTAACTCCATTGTAAATCGATGACTTTCAACTTTCGCGTTATTCTCTCGGAAAAAAAAACTATCGCGTTGAGTGATGCGAAACTTTGCCAATTTGATCGAACGCGTCTAATCAGAAAGCGTAATTGCACAAGTGACGTTCAGTCGGTGCTGGATAATTCTCTTCGGATAATTCAATCGCGATTTAAGCCAGCGAGGACAAGAATCTTTTCCGCGACACGCATCAACCAGAGCTGGATCGCGCGGATGAAACGCGAGTGGACGATCTAGCACGCTCGATACTTACGAGTGGAAGGGCAGGGGCGTGAAAATGACGCCCGGGGGTTGAAACCTAAGACCGGGTAGCTCCACGTCGGGCTCGTGATGAATCGACATGTTCTGCATAGACGGTACGATGATCCTTTCGACATCCCGGCCGGCGTTGCTGGCATCGTCCATGGCCGAGTGCCTGCTGTGCTGCGCATTGTCCTCGTTGCTGTGCTCGGCGCCTCTGCGTATATTGTTGAAGTGCTGACGATTCGGATCGACGAACTCGATCGCGGTGCTGTTGCCGTAGACGTCGATGATCGCCCAGAGCGGGCCCCGGGTCTCGACGCCGCTGAAGAAGAGACCCTTCTCCTCGCCATTGACGCCGAAGTGAACGTCACCGGCCGACGTGACGTAGTAGAAGAGCACCGTATCCCTCTCCGCGAACCTCTCGGCGAGCGCCTTAGCCCAGTAGCCCGGCTTGTTCGTCAGATCCGGACACGCGTACCTCGGTAAACCGCTCCGGAGATTGATCGGGTCGTTGCTGGTGAAGCCGAAACGGATCACGCCGCTCCAATTGTCGGAGATCTCCAGGAACTTCACACAGACCTGCGCGGTTTCACAGAAAAGCGACCATGTAGAACTTGACTCGTGATTTGTAGGAGGAAAGAGAAAAGGAAAGAAGCCACCTTGCGGCGGCAGAGGTGCCGCATGGGCGATCCTAAAATGGAGCTTTATTCGAGGCATCCTCGGGAATTGATTACGCTCAATTATGTTCATCCCACGTGTCGCGTCATTAGAATTTTACGACTACTCCTAAATTATACGCTACGTAGAAATCGAAAATACGCTTAAACACCTAACGCGACGCCCACTTGTCTTAACAACAGCGACTGCACAGAAAAAAGAAGTGTCAAATAAAAACTTATATACGTAACAATCCATAATCTTCTTATAAGAATTTCAACTTTTTTTTTCTTGGTTGAACTATATAAAATAAAAATGAACTATATAAATAAAAACTTTATTCAAGCAAATTTTCTTCGTTTAACGTAAGATAATCTCCCTTCCAAGATTATAGATCGTTGAGTATACATGCGAGTATATTGTAAGTCTTGATTGGACACTTTTTTTTCTGTGTGGTTATTCCCTTCGCGTATTCAAGACGGATCGTCGGAAGACCGGGTGATTCCGTTGAAAATTGTTCGAATCATTCAGCGCGGCCATACGATCTGCTCGTATTACCTAACTACAGGCGGACACGCAAGATAAGCCCGCTGTGTACGTCGGACATCGCCGGGAGGGGCTCGTAACTTCAACCTGGACGATATGCAAAACAACGACCTACGCAAAAAAAGCCCGGCTCTCTCATGGTCGCGGCGATCCGTTTTAATATTCCGAGGAATGCGAACGGCGGTATCTCGAGCGTAACGAGAGTCGTCGGTTTCCCACAATCGGGCGGCGGGCGCCGCGCCGGTGGATTTAAAAGCCGTCGAGAGAAATTGATCCGAGGGGATCTCACCTTTTCGCCCACTCGCACGGGTCTGGCGCTAAACGTGACGCCCTTGCAAAAGCTCTCGTGCCTCCGGGCGATCGTACCGCCGTTGCACAGCCTGATGTTGTCACCGTGCACGTGGTGAAACGTCAACGGCGGCAGGTTGTTGGTACCCGCGTTCGAGGACCTGGGCGCTGAAACAGAAAACGATAACCATCGATAACGTCTTCCGACATGCAAACATCTGTACATACATACATTATCTCATAATCAGAAGACTATACGTCGTATACTTCGAATCGGTTTAGCTTATTTGTTTCGCAGGTACGTTGTTTCGTAATCAAATATCAATACCGTTGGAATGTGGAAGAAAGAATGTGCAAAAATTATTTATGTTTATTTATGCGTTTCACATAAATACTTATTTATGTATACAGGATGTTTTCTAAGTAAGCAGACAAACTTGAAAGGGATATTTCTTGGTTTATTTTTAAGAAGAAAAGGTTCTATAAACATGTGTCCTAAACTGCTTCGTTCTCAAAAAATACAGAGGGTGTCAAAGATACACATTCCTGGTGGATCTGAAAATGTTTTATCGGTACTAGAAAGTGCTTCTTAATACCACATGTACGCATATCAAATTGGAATCAAATATTTTTAAACGTTTTCCAGATTTTCAAAATTTTCATACTTTTTTTCCACAACTTTGAGATTTTGTATTTTGAAGCAATTTATAGGACACATGTTTATAGGACCTTTTCTTCCTAAAATAAACCAAGGAATATCCCCTTCAAAAGTTTGTCTACTTACTTAGGAAACACTCTGTATACGCAGGAATAACATATTATTTTTATGCCTATTAAATATTGTAGGTAAATAATATTTATTTACACACATGACATACTATAAATAATATCTTTTCGCAAAGCTGCGGCAAAAAGGTCTGCTTCAAGGTCGGTGCTTCGATATAGTTGATTTCTTTTCATGATACACTTACTTAATATATTTAATCTTTTACGAATTCTCGAGTTCGATGTATCCAATTTTTTTCAGGCTACACCTACGAACTCTAGAATATACATGGAAATGAGGTAGGCGAAATAGACGTTTAATTTATATTTATATGAAAACGATTATCGTTTTTCTATTCGATATAAAAGCTAGCTTATGAACATCGCGTCGTCCAAGGATCGCCTCGACCTTTCGACCGATTGTTTCATAGGCGCGTGGGCGCGGTTAGCTGCAAAGTTGCTGGATTTCTCTTTTTCTCGATCGCGATCGGGCAGGACTCGAAGTGGCGTTTTGCCGGAAGAAATAGGCCGTCGACGTTTCTAGCGCGGCCGGGAAAATTCACTTTGAGCTAAGGTAGCCACTTCGGAACGGGGAACAAAGAAGTTATTCAGCGCATCGCAAAAGGAAAAGGAGGGAGAAATTCGATCGGGGGAACTCGAATGCAAAAGCACCTCTCGTCGGAGCCCATCGAGCGTTTCCACTCCGGTATTTCATAATGCAGGCTCGCCGATCCGGAATGCGGGGATACCCGCCAGGACGTTTGCAGGCGATCGGCGAAGATGGAATCGCGTCGGCCCGATACCACCACCGTGAAGGATCCCGTGCCTTGGATCCGAAATAATCAGTCATTTAATTTTTATAATTTCACGCGAAGAGAACACCTCGGAATACCGCAGTCGCTTTTTATCACTATTACAATTTTTTACAAACACTTTAATTGCTTGCTCCGATTTTTTACAAACACTTGTCACTCATATGCAGACAGCATACGATAGTATTTATTAACAAATTTAATAAACTTTGAAGAAATATTGATTGAGAATATTGACTCGAACGCGTCTTTGTTCGCGATTTGAAAGTAAACCAGGAGTACCGCGCCGAAGCGACCGGCGCTCGCGAGAGCCTCGTTCTTACTGACTATCGATATGCCGAGGCGCGTAGTCGATATTGTACGTGCGCCGGAAACCGCACGTTTCGCACCGGAAGCGGCCTTCAAGAGCGGACGCCAAGTATTGAGATACACCCGGCGATTCGCTTTCTCCGCAAAACGGCCCGGATGCGGCCCGGAAACCGCCGTTATAATATACGCGGGAGGGAGTTGATTTACACCTTGGCGTCTTCATCGCGAACTTGCAGCGCTTCCTCTGTGAAAGAAATAAAAAATGCGGAAGAGGAACAGTGCGGTTTGCTCCGAGATACCGGTGGGTTAATAACAATGTATCCACAGTGTTAATCAATTGCAGAAGAAACGCAGAAGAAACTCTAGAAAGAATTGAAATTCTCTAAGCTAGAATCGCAAAGCGGATAATAAGAGAATAAATAAGAAAATAGAGAGAGAGAGAGAGAGAGTCATTAAAATCTCTACCCGCTTATCTCGCAGTTTTATTTCTTATCTATCTGCTTTTGCCTACATATTTTTCTAACGATAAAAATATCTGCATAAATACGCGCGATCTATTCACGAGAACATTCAGACCATCGTTAGAAAACTATCGCGAGAAAATTATGGTGCGTGATATAAGAAGTTGCTAGATATCAATATTGATTAATCTGTTAATCGGAATCGAGCGGTGGCGGTCGTTGTCGCCGAGATCGACTGAATAAATGTGATCTGCAGATAAAAAACCAGTACCGGTAAAAATCGCGAACCGTTCGGTTTCTCACGCTCCCGTATAAGGCGCACGTATTAGGAAACGCGTTCGCGCTAATTGAAATTTCTAATTTCCCCCCTCTCTTCGCTGTCGAAAGGGGAAGGGGAGGCGGAACAGTCGCGCTTTTTTCCCCTCTCTCGCTCGGCGGAACCGTTACTACGCGGTTGCAATTATGTAAAAAGTAAATGCGCGGGGTTTCCAGGATTATATGGGAGTTGCGAGTCGTTGCGAGACGCCGAGGTCACCAACGACCGCGCGAACACAGGACGATATTGCGTGTCGCGCGTCCACCGTCCCGTTCCACCTGTTTTCTCGCGTAATTTTCGGCCGGTCAGTGCGGTCACCCGAAAGGAACTTGCCCGCCGTTGAGGCAACATTACGAAATCCGGGGTCGCCCGGATAGAGTTCTTTCCTGGAACTCGCGTATCATCCTGTTGATCGGCGCGGCCACAAGCACGCTTTATTTCGCCATGTTGCGTAGGCCAATAAAAAAAAAGGATCGGAATACATAAGTCGAGTGATAATGAAATGCTTCCGTTAGTCGAGAGATTTTGTTCTTTAAATCGGTTTCCAAGACTCGATTGCGCAATGAGGAAACAGATAAATGTCTATTCATTTTTATACATGGTATAAAGTTTCTGACCAATCTTTGTTTCGACGCTATAGTTCAAGGTTCGATTTTGACATGAAAATTATAATAGAACAAGATGTAATTATAATATAATTACATTTTATGTAATATAATTATAATATAAGACTATATAATCGCCGATCGAGACCGAGCAAAGAATGACAGATGTAAAATCACGCGCGGTCTTTAAAAGACACGACCGTGATTTTCATCTGTGCGGGGAAAGCAGGTGAAGAGCATCTCGCGACGAAGTCTAATTTACACGGATTGGAGAAGCGTCGTTGTTTAGTCTCTCGATTAGTCACGGCAAGAACGTGAATCGCCGACGCACCTCCGACAGTCGGTTAGAAACGCCTGGCCGATTCATCGTGGGAATGTTATGACGTATACCGTTGCATCTCGCCGGCGTTCTTGTTGGCCTCGTGTAACCAAAGCATGACTCCATTTACCCCTGGCGGATGGGCCGTTTACTCGCCGCCACCACCACCGCGACTTCACCGCAGGCGCAAGAGCGTTTCGCGGGGACGGCGGAATTTGCGCGGCGCATCATCGCGAAATGGCAATTATCTTAGCCCTTTGCGAGATTGTTAAAGAAATCTGGAGAGGCTGTGTCTCTCGTTACATATAAATTTATATTCAACTTTTCCGGAGAACAGCTTTTCCGATTGCACTCGAGTTCTCCGGGATCTCCGTTGAGAGGTCAACGGCGTCCGAGGATTGACACGCGGATTGACACACTGCTTTCAGTCCGCGAGGATCAATCGCGATCGTGAAGATACAGCGTTACCGCCTGTGAACAGTTATGCGAACATTCGCTGAGTAATCGCCGATTCAATTCGTCGTGACCGTCATTAAAGACCGCGACGCACACGTCTTCCTTTTTTTCTCCGGAGAGCGACCAAGCGCCAGGCGATCGATCTCCACGCAAATCGCGCGAGTCAGCGAGAATTTCTCTCTCTCTCTCTCTCTCTCTCTCTCTCTCTCTCTCTCTCTCTCTCT